AATTGAAGATCATGCTAATTAGTCACATATTTTCAGTGTTCCTAATTTACTTTTTTAAATAACTTTTGACAGTGTTGACTACTTCTGCATTTATAAAACTCTCCTTGTGCATTCTGGAGAGTTGGTCTTGGTCCACTTTCTAATTTCATACCTATTCAGTTTGTTTTTTTCCTTACCTCTCGTTGGTATACTTTTTAATTTTTTAAATGTTTATTTTTGAGAGAAAGAGACAGAGAACAGGGGAGGGGCAGAGAGAGGAGACACAGAATCCAAAACAAGCTCCAGGGTCTGAGCTGTCAGCATAAAGCCCAATGAGGGGCTTGAACTCACCAGCCATGAGATCATGACCTGAGTCCATGTCGGACACTTTTAACCAATTGAGCCACCCAGGCATCCCTCTCCTTGATGTTTTTAAAGAATTATATTGTTGATCTTTTTTCTTCTCTTTGAAATCAATTGAATTCATATGACTTTATCACTGAGGATTTCTAAAGTTGCCCAATCTAAACTTTATTTCTTTCATTCATCCAATAAATACTTCTCTGAATCAATAGGCATAGATAGGTTACACTTGCTCAGAGTTTACGGTCTTTTGGAAATACAGAAAGGAAAACAAGCTGTGATTGTGTTTAAGTTCTGTGGAAGTGAAGTATAAAATCTTATAAAGGCCCATAAGGGGCGCCTAGGTGGCTCAGTTAAATGTCCTTGATTTCAGCTCAGGTCATGATTTTATGGTTTGTGGGTTCGAACCCCACATCAGGCTTTGAACTGCCAGCGCAGAGCCCACTTGGAATTCTCTCTTTCCCTCTCTGTCTGTGTCCCTCCCTCCCTCTCTCTCAAAAATAAATAAACACTAAAAAAAATTTTAAAGCACATAACAAGCCCTTATCTCCCTTGTATGCTAAGAAATACAGGGAGGAAGGAAGAAGTGACCCAGAGGTTACAAAAAAAAGAAATGTTTGTTGTAGTTGGGAGATCTGTTATATTGAGCAAATAAATACATTGCTTGAGGAAAAAAAAAAGATATTGAAGACAATGAAAGCCGGGTTTCCTGCTGTTGGAGAAAGCATTTTAAACCTAAAAAAGAAGAAGATTAAATATAGTCCTGAGGTTTTACATTGGAATTAGAGCTATTGACTTGGTGTTGGAGAATATGGATTTATGGTATGTGTGTGTACCACATACACATACACACAGATATAGAGTTAGTTACAGATGTATATGTGTGTGCATATAAATGTGTGTACATACACACATAGTTTTTTAAATTTTAATTTATTTTTTTAAACTTACGTCCAAGTTAGTTAGCATATAGTGCAACCGTGATTTCAGGAGTAGACTCCTTAATGCCCCTTACGTAATTAGCCCATTCGTCCTCCCACAACCCCTCCAGTAACCTGTTTGTTCTCCATATTTGAGAGTCTCTTGTGTTTTGTTCCCTTCCCTGTTTTTATATTATTTTTGCTTCCCTTCCCTATGTTCATCTGTTTTGTATCTTAAAGTCTTCACATCAGTGAAATAATATGATATTTGTCTTTCTCTGACTGATTAATTTCACTTAGCATAATACCCCCTAGTTCCATCCACCTAGTTGCAAATGACAAGATTCCATTCTTTTTTATTGCTGGGTAATACTCCATTGTATGTATGTATGTGTATACACCACATCTTCCTTATCTATTCATCCATTGATGGACATTTAGGCTCTTCCCATACTTTGGCTATTGTTGATAGTGCTGCTGTAAATATTAGGGTGCATATGCCCCTTCAAAACAGCACACTTGTATCCCTTGGGTAAATACCTAGTAGTGAAATTACTGGGTTGTAGTGTAGTTCTATTTTAAAATTTTTGAGGAACCTCCATAATGTTTTCCATAGTGGCTGCACCAATTTGCATTCCCGCTAGCAGTGCAAAAGAGATCCTCTTTCTCTGCACCCTCGCCAACATCTGTTGTTGCCTGAGTTGTTAATCTTAGACATTCTGTCAGGTGTGAGGTGGTATCTAATTGTAGTTTTAATTTGTATTCCCCTGATGATGAATGATAGTGAGCATTTTTTCATGTGTCGGTTGGCCAACTGGATGTCTTCTTTGGAGAAGTGTCTATTCATGTCTTTTGCCTATTTCTTCACTGGATTATTTGTTTTTTGGGTGTTGAGTTTGATAAGTTCTTTATAGATTTGGATACCAACCCTTTATCTGATATGTTGTTTACAAATATCTTCTCCCATTCCACTGGTTGCCTTTTAGTTTTGCTGATTGTTTCCTTCTCTGTGCAGAAACTTTTTGTTTTGATAAGGTCCCAATAGTTCATTTTTGCTTTGGTTTCCCTTGTCTCTGGAGATGTGTTCAGTAAGAGGTTGCTGCAGCCAAGGTCAAAGAGGTTTTTTGCCTGCTTTCTTCTCAAGGATTTGATGGCTTCCTGTCTTACATTTAGGTCTTTCATCCATTTTGAGTTTATTTTTGTATACACATAGAGTTTTGAGTACAATATCTACTGAGAGAGCCAAAAGGCAATGTATCCAAGTTACCGTGAGCACTCTGAGATCTCATATCTTGATGTTTCCATGTTGTCCTCCACTAGAAGGAATCAGGGCTCTGGGCTCTTGGGAGTAAGGTCTGATTTCAGAGTTAGGCTAGAAAAAATATGAGATGAACTTGGACCATCTTGTGCCAGGAAGAGAATGCTCAAAGTATGATGAGGATATGTTAAAAGACCACAAGAGCTATCTTGAATATTGGAGCACTAGCCAAATCTTGAATATTTGAATATTTAAATAAATGATGATAGTAATAGATTACAACCCATTGATTAAAATAGGAAGAAAGAATGAAAGAAAGAGAAATAGAAAGAAATATTCCTTACAGTAGATGCCAATTAAATAGCATAGAAAGAATGATAGACATGGAATATCTCCATTTGGCAACTTTCTTAGTACTTAGGAGTTGTCATTGGATACTGGTGGATTGATAAACTATTGATGATAATTGAGATGCTGACAATCTTGGAATAGCTCTAATGCTAAAAATAATCAGTTACTAAGGGGAAAAGTAATGACCTTATTGTGTAGACACTGGTATTGTGTCTACACTGGTAGACACTGACATGATCAGATGAGAAAAGTTAACATCCCAGTAATAGGATGAGTCAGCATCAGGTGCCTCTGATGGGATTCACTGAGAAGAGCACAGCATCATTGCTGCAGTATTCCTTCTAAGAAAATAGGGCCTGAGTCTGAGACATGAAGAGGCATCAGAAAATCATCCCTTAGAATTTAAGACCCCTTCTCTAAAAGTGTTGACATGACAGAGACTAAGAAATAATTCTTGCTTGGAAGAGGGTGAAGAAATACAACATATGTTCTATGAAGTCCTGGTCACAGAAAGTAAAAAGAAACATTGCTGAGACAAATGGCAAAATTTGATTGAGGTCTGTGGCTTGGATGGTAGTGTTGTATCAGTGTGGATTTCCTGTCTTGGAAAGTTGTGTTATGGTTATGTATGGGAATATCCTTGTTTAGAGAACTATACTCTGAAGTACTTAGAGGTGATGAGGCATAATTTCTGTAGCTTGCTCTCACATGGTTCTGAAAAAAAGTGAGGATAATAAATGTATAGAGAAAGAAGGAGAAAGGGTGATGGGGTGGATATGAGGAAATGTCAGTAGCTGGGCAATTGGTGTCACACTATATGGGAATCCTTTGTACTGTTTGTGTAAGTTTTCTATAAGTTTGAAAATTAAAAACATACATATACACATTTTTAAAGCAAATGGAGAACTTATACCAGAATAGGGTTAAATGGAAAAATTATGTTAGGAAATGATCCCTAAACTGAGGTCTAATATGTCAGCAAAGGGCACCCTTTCTTGAGCTCCTTTAGAAGAGAGATTGTTTAGTTTTAGTTAACTTTTGTTTTGTTTTTAGTGGTTGGCATTTAGATATTATTGATTAAATGCATGAATTGAAAAAAGCTGAAGGAAGTTTTCTATGGCTGGAAGTTAGAATGTGAGTGTGGCAATGGCAAGAAATTAGGCTGGAAAAGTAAGCAGAGAACAGACCATATAGTAGCATATGTATTTGGTGTGCTTGTAAGGAAATAAAATTTTAAAGAATTACAAAAATGGCTTAAGAAAGGCAACTCTCTACTGTATCCCAAGTGACAACAATTAAGAAAACAGTTTTGATCTGATATATAAACATTTTTAATATTGAATTTCTTTCAAAATGTTTGAAATTTTTAACTAATTAGATAATCTGCTTTAAATTGGAAGAGCGAGTCTTTATAGATATTCTTGCCAGTCATCAGGATTGCATATACCTGTGAATGAATACATGTATACTTCAAAGGATCAGCAAATTTAAATCATGTATAGTTTGGTCCAGCTCTAAATGCTACTCAGACTTAGAAACTCATGATTCAGTATATGTTTAGTCACACACCCTTCATAAAATAAACACTGTCTGTTAATCTTACTCCCTTTTTCAGTTCTAGTTCTCTTTTTTCCATTCAGTCAAATTATTTGAACTTAACTAGAGTATTATTTTTCTAAATAGTTTCTTAGGGAAAATGTACCCCCCAAAAAGTTCATACCAAGTCCTGCTGCTATTATAATGCCACATGAGTAAAATAATCTATAGAATGTAGAGAGATTACATTAAAGAAGCAAAATTAGTTATTTTAGTACCCTTAGTAAATTAATTTGGGGGAAAGGCATAGTACTTCTCAGGAAGAAATAGGCAATTTTTGCTTGGGTATTTGTTCCCAAGAAGTACTTACTTTATTTACCACAAAATTGGCCAAAGTAGAATCTTTTAGAACTAAGAACTTCTATAAGGATATAAAGCTATAAAATTTATAAATTAATGTGAAATATAAGAAATTTCATGAAATACTCAAATGTACTCTGTAATTATAGGAATTTTTTAAAAGAATTGTTAAAGCACATATTTTGTAATTATTTACAATATTTCTTTTTGTTTGGTTTTACATAATATGCTAGGCACTTGGTGGTGTCCCAGGAAGTCAGCCATTACTTCCAAGTGGAATGGACCCAACTCGACAACAAGGTGATTACTTTAAAGTAAAAGTAAAATTGATGTGCAGAATCCCAAAGGAAATCCTTTATTTTTTAAGGACAATTTTATGTGTTTATATGTTCCATAATTATACCAATTGCATTTCTGCAGGTAACAATGGCCAAGTGACTTACAGTTTCAGCTTACTCTCACAATCATGCATGATAGTAAGGGAGGTAATAATATAAGAAACAGAGTAATTAAATATCCAAAATCCATATTATAACTAATAATTTCTAAACCTTTTATGTAACTTCTAACAAATGTAAATTTAAATGATTATATCACATATGATTTCTTCTGCCTTTTTCAGATAGGTTAGTCCATCTGACAGATGAGCAGGAGGAAAGAAGATGCTCAGCAACTAGTTGCTTGATTAGTTTAACAAATCAATAATCAGGTCCAACATAATAAGTACCACAGATATGTATGGCTCTAGTACACTGTTCCAAGGTAAAAGGAGCAAATCGTATGAGAGATGTATTCAGAACAGACTAGGAAGAAAAATCCAATCTCAGTGAATGGAGACTGTGGGCAAAGAGTGAGTAGAGGCCAAAAAGTAGCCATGGAAGCCAAGAAGCAATGATGTCAATAACCCAGTCCCTTACTAAGTAATACTTGTCAGGCAGAGAGGCTGCTGGCTCCCTGGTTTAGCACTCATGCTCATTATTTTGCTAATATCTTTATACCTTTTTTTTCTTTTTTAAAGGACATCCAAATATGGGTGGGCCAATGCAGAGAATGACTCCTCCAAGAGGAATGGTGCCCTTAGGACCACAGGTAAATAATCAGCACAAAAGTTAGACACTGAGTTTTCTGCCTTCATCTTATGTAAACAAACTATATCACTTGCTGGCTTTTATTATGCATTAAAGGCTTGATATAAGATAATTGTTAGGCTCTTAAGGAGCAGAGTTATCTGTGACATGTCCAAAATGATGTAACAACAATCCATATTTTAACAGGTGCTATTGCTTATTACTTTAGTACATTTGAAAAAGTATGCAGAAATACATTACAATAATTATTATAAAAACTATTAATTACCTTTTTGTTAGCTATGCTGAGGAAATCTAGAAAAATCATAATAATTATTATAAAAGATAAGCATATAAGTTAAGTAAACCAACTGAGCTATTAAATAGAATAAGCAGCATAAAATATATTTCTAGAAGTCTTTCAAAGAATACCGTTGACTACTTATTATATTCATATTCATAGAATGTGAAAACAATAGCTATTTAGAAATAAACATTAAAATGGGCATTAGTGAACAAGCTTAATCCTATCAGTGTATATCAGATGTTAGACTTCTTCTCTCTCAAAATTTCCCAGAAGTACCCAATATGAGTTTGAATCTGTCCTACCTATGGTGTTACAGGATATCATTTACTTTTGGTAAAACATCCTTTTGTCTCTCTTGGGAAAACTGCATGAGGTAGAAATTAATGTTATAATGTTATATTTCAAGGAAGCTAGCCCTAAATCCAGAATTTTAAATTTCTATCTTATGGGTCAGAGGTTAGTATGTCATAATGCTGGCTAAAAGTGAATTAATTTATTTTCTTCTTTCTAAGAATAGCTTTATAAGTGACAGTTTTAGGAACTTGTTTCATGTATCTACTGTAAAAAATTAATATGTTGTTGTGTGCCCAAAGGAGTCAGAAAATTAAGATTCTAACCCTGAGATAACATGAGTTAGACCTAGGAGTTTCTGATTAACATACAATTACATAGATAGATAGAGATAGAGATAGAGGAGATAGAAGTGTATTGAAACACAAAGGGCATATAACCAAAATTTTCAGAGATACTGTATTTCATTAAAAAAATAAAACCTAATATGTAAATATCTGACATTCTCAGTCTGAAAAAAAGCAATTTATTTAGACTCCGTTATTTCCTATGTATTTTCTTAAGATCTTATAAAACTGATTTAGACATATAAATGATTTTCCCCTATGTCTACTCATGTTAGGGTTAATAACGTATGTGATCAACCATCAGAAGCCATTAATATCAATTAGAATATATAAGATCTATAGGATATTTCATTGACTCAGTATAGATTTTAGTTATTAATGAACTAAGCCAATTTGACTATACAGAATTTGAAGGATTTTCCCCCAAAATTTTCATAATAGATATATTTTATTTTTTTAATCTCTATTTTTGAGAGAGACAGACACAGAGAGCAAGTAGGGGAAGGGCAGAGAGAGAGGGAGACACAGAATCTGAAGCAGGCTCCAGGCTCTGAGCTGTTAGCACAGGCCTACCAAGGGGCTTGAACTCATGAACCGTGAGATCATGACTGAGCTGATGTTAGATACTAAACCAACTGAACCGCCAGGCACCCCTAGAAATTACATTTTAAATATAAATAAAAATGTGGTGCCTATAATTTAGTTACCATTCTTCATTCAGTTCATTGATTTTTAAACTCTTTAAGGTTTTATCATCCCAAACCAATATTTTCAATACTTTTAAAAGCTAGATTCTGATTTAAGAGTCAGTTTTGCAGTGTTTGAAAGATACGCCAATGGTTACTTTAGCTATATGAACACTTAGATCTCATTTGAAAATGCAGAAATAGAAAGCATATCGGTCTTTATGATTTATAAATACCTCGCTGTATCTAGCTGTTTATGTGTACTTTGTTTTAAGTAAATTATAATAAAATGTAAAACAAATTTCTGGTATATAATCTCTTACTGATGAGTTTTATTTCCAAGTTTATAATGTAAGTGTGAATTCTTTGTGTTTCAAACTCAAAAAGAGTAGTTTATTTCTGCCATTTGGATTAGTATCCTTGCTATTTATTTCTTCATAATTTGAGGTAGATAAATTGTTTTGCTCTGAATATTTCAGAAACAAGAACTACCTACAATAATGTCTTTAAATCACAGTATACAGAGTGTAAATGGTTAAAGAAAATTATTTATACATGCCATTACTTGAAAGAAAAAGAAATTCTATTAATATGAGTGGCAGAATAGATAAAATGTGAGGTAAAATAATTTGGAATGAGGGATTCTTTTGAGATATTTATCTATAACACCTGATATATGAAACATATGCATTATAAACTGTGAGGTCTGTAATAAAGGTTATCTGTGTTTTTTGAAGGATAATGAAAAAAACAATTCTCATAGCAGGTATCTAACCATACAGATGCTACCCAAAAACATAATGCATCTGCTTTTTTTCTAGTTGAATTATAGAAATAGTCTTTGTAATGTTTTTATCCTTTTACGCAAATAAAATACAACTCTTTTTTATCGTAGATATTATTTCCATAATATTTTGAGCTTAAGACCAGTATAATGGAGACAGTAGTTATATGTTGGAACAATTGAATTGCTAGAACAAAGAAATATATATCATCTAATGATTCTTAGATAACGCCAATTTAGGCAAATACACACCTAGAACATAGTAAACATGCTTAATGTTTATCACATAAATGAAGAAATAAAAGTTTGCCCTTAATCCTGACATATTTTTCCTACCCCTTTGCCTATTTTAAATTTAAGTTCAGTGATAATACATACAATTATCTTTTAATTTAAAAAATCTTAATACCATATTTGAAGACATTTTTCTACTTGCTTTTATAATAAGATATACTTAGCTTGTCTGTATTCTTATGCTCACCAGGTTCCATGTGATTAACAGAAAAATTCACCAAGACTGTATAGTTAGTTCTTGGTCTTCCAGAAATCTGAAGGATAAATGAGTTGTATACAAGTAGGAACATATTATGATTCCCAAATCAAATACCGGCTGGGGTGGAGAAATGGTGAAATAGAAATACATGATAAGTTTTGTCATGTAAAGAGAGTTAACTTTTTATTTTCAAATTTAAGATAGGAGGTAGAATTCAGCTCAGTAAAGGGAAGAGCTTTCTAGAAAGTAAACTGCCCAATCACGGAGAAACTCTGTATAAACTTTCCAAGCAGAATCTGAACAGCCATTTTGTCAGGAACATTGCATTGGAAAAGAGATTAAACCAGATGGAATTGTAGAGCTGCCATCCGCTTTAAAATTCAGTGATTCTAAATGAGCTCTTACCATTCTGCCTTTGTTGATACCACTTGGAAAGCCAGTTGTTATTCTTTCTTATCTTCCTGTTTTCTTTTGCCTCACATTATTCACAAAATGAAAATATTTTGTAAATCCATCAAATTATGTATTGGATAATTTCTTACTCATTTTCTGTGATACTTGAGCACTGGATATACCAAGATGAATAAAGATTCTACCTTCAAGGTACTTACTGTTTAGCAAGAGACACAAATACATAAAGAAAAACCGTTATGCAGTAGAAAAAAGGTCTAGAAAAGAAATATGCATACTCTGTCAGGGAATCATTACACAAACAAGCATATAACTCTGTTATGGTTGAGGGGTCAAAAAAAGATGATGAGAAGAGGGCTGATTTAAGTTGGTCCCTTATTAATGGCGACAAGAAGGAGCAGCTACAGTTTTTGAGCACATGGTGTCATGCTTTTAAATGCACTGACAACTATGATAGTTGTTTTAGATGATTTTGTTTTGTCCTCCAACAAGCATGTAAGACATGATAAGGAAATTAAAGTTGAGTTGACAATTGGAACAACTGGCCCAATGTGTGGCCCATGATCACACATATAGAAAGAGGAGGGGCAGGGGCGCCTGGGTGGCTTAGTTGGTTAAGCATCCGACGTTCGCTTAGTTCATGATCTCGCGGTTCGTGAGTTCGAGCCCCGCGTCGGGCTCTTGCTGACTGCCAGCCCAGAGCCTGGAGCCTGTTTCGGTCTGTGACTCCCTCTCTCTCTGACCCTCCCCTGCTCACGCTGTCTCTCTCTCTCCTAGAAATAAATAAAACATTAAAAAAAAAAAAAAGAAAGAGGAGGGGCAGAGGAGATGGGGGCAGTGGCAACAGAAGTTCAAGTCATTATCTTTCTATATCCAGACCTATAAAGAAAACTAATGTTTCCCTTGATACAATGAAACAGATCTTTTCAGATGAAAAATGAAGGGAGACTTTTCTTTTGAAGCATTTGTATTATAGTCTACCATCCAGATTTTATTTCTAATGGCTAACTTTCTTCTCAGACTTCTTGCTAATATTGCTGGTGCCACTGCCATGCGTGGTCCAGAGGTTAAGGGAAATAACCATCATTTTAACTAATGACTCAAGTGTGGATAGAAACAATTCTGTCCCATAGCACATACAGTTGGGATGTTTAAATAAGATTTCTTGAAAGTAAAAGTTAATAAACAACAAGAAGAACACATAACTAGGTAATTTATACACTGTGGCTTACTCTCTGGAGTTAACAGTCTCATGAATATTTCCTTGTCATCTTAGCACCTACTACACAAAAGGCCATGCTATGAGTTACCATGAGTGTAAAAGTGCATTGCATGTTTCTGAAACACAAAAAATCCAGTAGGCTGGATGGTATAGTCGGGAGTAGGGGAGAAGGTGAAGATAATAGGAAATGAATACAGGAAATGTAGGCTAGGGCTGGTCTGTGAATACATCATAGAGCTATGCTGTGGAGTAAACATTTAATAGGCAGTGTGAGTCAAATGGCTCATAAGTGACATAAATAGGACTGGGTTTTAAGGGTTTTTTTAATGTTTATTTATTTTTGAGAGAAAGAGAGAGTGCATGCGCCTGAGCGGGGGATGGCAGAGAGCCAGGGAGACACAGAATCTGAAGCAAGCTCCAGGCTCTGAGCTGTCACCCCAGAGCCCTATGCAGGGCTCAAACCCACAAGCTCTGAGATCATGACCTGAGCCAAAGTTGGATGCTTAACTGACTGAACCACCCAGGTGCCCTTTCTAATCATAGTTCTAGAGGCAGCATGAAGATAAATTGGGAGGAGGGAAAGGCTAAGTCAGAGAGACCAATGAAGACAATATATTAGTCTCAGTAAATGACAAAGATTAGTCTCAGTAAATGACAAACGCCATTTCACAGGTGGAAGCAATAGACTTCGGTAACTGACTGGATTTAGGAATTCAAATAAAAGGAAGAGACATCATTGAGATCCCAGAGGTTTTTAGCCCAGACTGTTATAAAGCAGGTGATGCCTCAGCACTGACTGAGGAAAACAATAGGAAGAATGCAGTTGTGAGAAGAGAACATTGAGTTTACTTTTAGATATGTTGAACATGAAGTGGTATCCAGATAGAAGCAATCCAAGTGAAGTTCAGTGTAGGAGTTATCCAGGAACTTAGGAGAGACATCATGACAAAATTTAAAACATTTGGAATTCCTAAATCGTTGTTGAACTAATGGTAGCAGATAAGATTACCCATAAGTGTGTATTTAAAGGAATGGTATGGCTAGAACTTGGAGAAAAGCAACATTTAAAGAGTTGGCAAAATAAAAGGAGCCAGCAAAGGAAATTGAAAAGGAGTAGTCAGAAAGGTTGGAGGTATAGTGCTATGAGAGAGCCAAGCACGGAATCAGTTGATAGTGTCAAAATATATTAACATAAGAATGTTAAAATAAATCTTTTGGCCCTAATGGAAACTAAAGTAAGCTAATACGATACGCATGTTAAAACATTAAAAATGTTTTCTCCTTTGAATGTATATAAGAGAAATTAACAGAAGCCTACTGAGTTGTATAATTCACGTATACATACTTTAGTTTTCATATATTGTTGTGTATCTGTGTATTAGTACATTTCTCTATAGGATGTATTATTTTGTAAGCAGAAATAGTTTGCATTCAACTTTCTTATGTTGGGTTCACAGTCTGGTTTTTTTCCTTCAGACTTTATGTAATTGTTCTGGGCCTGATAATTTCAAACATGTTGACTATGTCTTTTCTTTAAAAGCAGAGTTTTGGATTTATAAAATGTTTCATTTGAAAAAGTTCACTGTTGTACAGATGTTAGGACCTTAATAAAGATATGTTGAATATTATAATTGCAGTTGTACCTTTATCATTAACATGCTCCAGTGATCTTACATAGTCATGTAGTTTTTAAATGACACAGACCAAAGTAATTGTTGAAATAGAAGCAATAGTTCAAGAGTGGATCCTTCAGAGAAAGAATTGCACAGGCCTTATCCAATCAGGAGTTATGTAGGGAAATCATTAACCTGCTCTCCTTTCTTTCCCCCCTCCTCTTTGGTTTTGTTTTTTTGTTTTGTGGTAGTCTGACCCTTGGTTATCATTACAGAACTATGGAGGTGCAATGAGACCCCCACTGAATGCTTTAGGTGGCCCTGGAATGCCCGGAATGAACATGTAAGCAAAATGCCATATTATCATGTTTAGTATTCTGTTTTCTGTCTTCTGAAGTCACACTAATTTGCAACACACTTTCAGCTCCTCAATTTCTGTGCAGTATAAAATGAAACTAGTGTAAATGTACGAAACATGAGCCATGGTGTCTGCCTCATTTTCACAACGTACTCTGTTTTTCTTCCTTCCCTTGCAACCTTTAATTTTTTCCATTTTCAAATACCAAATGCCAACTTTTAGCCTGGTTTTCATGTTTCATTTATTTAATTAAAAATGAGGGTTTTTTTTACACATAAGTACACAGTCTCCATATAGTCTATACAAAACTATAAAGAGATGTGGACATGAGGAACAGGACTTCACTCCATAGAAGCAGACAATTGATACTGACTTCATTTTAACAGATACTTAATGATTCCTAAAAGTTGTTAATTCTTATATATGAGTCTTTACTTTTGCTTTGTTGGGACTACTCTTAACCCAGCAAGAATTCTTTTCTGGTATTATCTTCTATATTTAAAAAAAAAAACTTTCCATACTATAAGGTGAAATTTTTTTCATTTCCTTTTTAAGTGTATTTAGTTTGAGAGAGATACAGAGAGAGTGAGCAGGCAAGGGGCAGAGAGAGAGAGGAAAGAAAATCCCAAGTAGGCTTCACACCATCTGCACAGAGCCCAACACGGAGCTTGATCCCACGATATGAGATCGTGACCTGAGCCAAAATCAAGAGTCAGATACTTAACCAACTGAGCCATCCTGCAGCCCTGATGGGGTGAATTTTTGTTTGAAAGATAAGATGTGCTTGCATAAGGAGTAAACTGATAGTATTTTGGTTTGTTTATTACTGAAAAGGACTTTCAAGCCCAAAGAGAATAGTTGTTTCTATTACCCAAAATAATGCCATCTATTAAGGAATTTTAATTTATTTTTCATTATCTAACTTGCCCTCAAAGTTCCATATATACCAGGTGCTTATTTGTGACGTTCATTAATTCACCAAAGGATCAATTCCATCATATGGCCTAAAGAAAACTTACCAGAAATCATGAAACCTTCCATAGAGGGTTATAGGTAGTTTCCTCTAATATATGTTCCCATTAGTCTATGTTTTGGTTACTTACATATCAAATTAGACAACTCTGCCATCACTTAATGGCATTGAAGATATAATGAGACAAGCTTCTTTGATATAGATAGGGATTTTTGTAAGTTTCTGAAACCATTTTCATGGAAAGCAATTTTGCCTAAAATAGAAAATAGGTTAATAAGTGGGTACCAGCCAGACTCAAAACTAACAGAACAAGGGGAAAAAAGTAGGTCAAATTTTCCTATCACGTCTTTTTAAAGTAAAAATGGGTAGACATGAAGTCTGACTTTTCTTAAATCCCTCAAAGGCTTGGCCTTTATTAATGGTTGTTACAAAAAGGAGTGATATTTTATGCTTAAATCAAAAGCTGCAACTCTTACCAGTAGGATTTAGATGTATATTAAATTTACCTAACTGAGATTCTGACTTTAAAATGCAATAGTATTTAGGGAATATAATTTTGAATACTATGTATAGATGTAAGGAGTATACATTTTGAGTATTATGATCAATTAAGAATTATCATTAAATGGTAAGCTTGTCCCTAATGTCATTTTGTATAACACACTTCATTGTAATTAGCCATGTGGTCAACTTTAGATCAACCTGTTTTGTGTTAATATAAAAAAAAGGTATTTTTATGTCACTATTAAGAGACTCAAGATACTGCTTAAATTGTCTGGTTCTTTTCTCATATACATATAAACAAATACATATGGGTACTTTAAATTCCCTAGACTATGGAGATTAAAAATATGGTTGGAATTTTTAATATGATTACTTTTGCTGATATTTGCATTTGGGTTTCTCACTTAAATACACTCAGATGCTTTAACATATTTTTATTACATAATATTGTACTGTTCATATAATTTCTGTTTTTAAAGTAACTAAGCCTTACAGACTCAGATTTCCATTATTTCTTACTATTGATTTATTTGTAGTCTATATAATTTTCAGTTTTCTATAAAGTAGGATATTCTTCAAGAACAATGAAAATGTAAATATTTCCTTTTAACAAAGAAGTTCTAAAGTATGGAAGATCCAACCAAAGAGAATAATTCATGTATTGATATTGGCCCCAGAAAAGCAAAAGTGAATTTAAAGAGACATAAAAAAAATAAATAAAACGTATTATCTCCATTGTACTCAATAGAGTAAACATTGTTGAAATTCACTTCATAACTTAGTATCTTTAAAACAGATACTAAATTTGTGTTATGGCAAATAAGTATTTCTAACTAGTATTTGTGACTTTTTTCACGTCACTTTTTTTTTTTACATGTTGGGTAATTTAAAAATAAAGGTAAAGGCATTAGAATAGTGTTGCTCTAAGCTCTATTTTTAACAGCCTAAGATATTTGTGTATTGGAGTCAGGTGGGACCTGCCAGCAAATCATATCCGGATGAGTTTTCTTTAGCTTGTCACTTTTTCTTGTTTGCCTGAAAATATAATGACGGCTCACTAAAGTAATTAAGTACTGTATTCTAACCGGCAAACTATTTGCAACAAAATTTTGATAGTTTTATCTTGAAAAATATTGGTTGTCTACACAGAAAATAATTACTCTGATATAATTTTTATATTTCCATGCTCTAAACTCACGGTATTAATAGTATCATCTAAAATTAAAGTCAGATCATTCTTTTACTATTTCTCTAACTACTGTTGTATTTGTATAAATAAAAGCATAATATCAATTTCAGTAATTTAAAGTAGAATTTACAGACTACAGCCACAATGTAAATATTTTCATCTGCATTATGGATAAGCTTTTTAAAAGAAACTATATTTCTGAATTACTCACATTTTTACAAATTTCCAAAGAGTTTAGGATTCAACATTACAGCATTTCTAATTCAACTTTGTATACACTGGTATTTTATAAAACTAAGAGGACAAAGAATTTCAAAGGATCTAGACCTTGTTATCTTATGGAATGATAAAGTTTTTGTAGTTATTATCTTGAAATAAAATGACTGCATAGCAAAAAAGGGGATTTTTCTCCACAGTAATCATAGTTACTTTTATTTTATCATGTCTGTATACCCCTACCAAAAAATACATGCTTCTTTTAAATTACATTTTTCTTTTTGTCTTTTAAATAAGGCTACCTTGATTCTACTTCAAACCATACCTATACAGAAATTTCCATTCAAAATAACTCCTGTATTATAGTTTGTAAATTACCTTCTTGATAATACTGATGGTTCTCAAAAGGAGTAGGAATTACTGAGCTTATGTAGTTTTTCTAATAGAACTACTCACTAATAAAGCCCCCATTTTATTTAGCACTATTTGTGAAACTAAATGTTTTCAAACACAATAGTAGTGTTAGGGGAAACTTAGCTTATCCTTGTGAGTTATGTTTTTAAGGATTTTTTTTTTTAATGTTTATTTTTGAGAGTGAGAAAAAATGAGCAGGGTAGGGACAGACGCGGGGAGGAGGGGACAGAAGATCTGAAGAGGACTCTGTTAATAGCCAAGAGCCCGATGTGGGACTCAAACTCACAAACTGTGAGATCATGACCAGGGCTGAAGTCAGACACTCAACCAACAGAACCACCCAGGTGCCTCCTCCGTGTAAATTATTAATACTTAACCTATCATATTAAAATGAAAGGGGGGCACTGGATGGCTCAGTCAGTTAAGCACCTGACTCTTGATTTCAGCTCAGGTTATGATCTCATGGTTCTTGAGATAGAGCCTTGTGTCAGGCTCTGCACTGACAGCATGGAGCCTGGTTGGGATTCTCTCTCTCCCTCCTTCTCTGCCCCACCCCTGCTCACGCTCTTTCACATGGTCTCTTGTCCTCTCAAAATAAATAAATAAACATTTTAAAAAATAAAAAATAAAACACAATATGATATGAAATACATAGTGTGCTGAGACTAGATTAGTATTTGTCAAATAACTGGAATGTGTAAAAGGTACTGTTACTGATAATGTAACATTTAACATTTAATTTAATGCTGTTATTTATTTAAGTAAAATGTTTAGTTATTTAACATTTAATTTAGCATGTTAATTTAACATTAATTTTTAAAATTATAAATAACATTATATTTAATCTTATACAGTCCTATTTTAAAAATTATGAGATAATTATCATCTTAACATTGTTGTATACAAATTTTTGCCATGATTTGGATATAGCATTTTTTTTAAGATAGAGAGCCTGCAAGTAGGGGAGAGGGAAAAAAGGGTCAGAGAGAGAGGGAGAGAGAGAGAGAATCCAAGCAGACTCCATGCTCAGCACAGAGCCCAATGCGGGGCTCAGTTCCATGACCCTGGGTTGATGACACATGCCGAAATCAAGAGTATGACCCTCAACTAACTGAGCCACCCAGGCACCCTTGGATATAGCATGTTTTTTATGCTATGTTAAGATAAGTATTTCCCAATTTCTTTACTATGTTTTATTTAGCATCAAACAAATTATGTGGACTAACATCAAACAAATCAAATATTTCACTTGGTCAAAACATATTGTATGTTTTACCTCACTTTCTGTCCATTAGGACATTGAATCCTATATGTAAGATCATCTTTCTAAAGTGTTCCAGTAATTAATTGTAAAATCATCATCATCATCCCCATCTTAAAGAGGCAGTAGTTTCCAGAGACAGTACAAGTACGTACCTCTCATCTTCTCCTGTGCACAGTATTTTGACCAGCTCCTCTCTGGGATCTTATTTTCACCTTTATTCCTCAAGCAGAATTGGGGGAAATTGTATTTGGGTACCCTAATAGAGCCCAGGGAAAGTATTTTCATGTACTTCCCTGGTGTTTACATCCCTGGGGAATTAATTCCAAAACAAAATGAAAAACAGTTCTAAGTAATCCAGCCAAACATGGGTAATACAGCTAATTTGGACAACTTCTATCAAACATATGAGAATTTCAGGTTTAAGGTCCCTACAATAAGAATCAGGGGACATATTTTTTTATTAAAAATTTTCTTTCTACCACAGTTAGAGAGAAAAGGGAATTTTGAGTGACCCTAATTACAGAGAACCTGCTAACAGTAGTCTACTTTTTATCAAGCAGTATTTATTCAGGTATACTTAATATTAAAACATGAGTACAGGAGACCTTTTCACTTGATTTTGGTTTTAAAGATTCATGTCCTTTTAAGCTATAGAATACAAAACATTATCCACCACCCTAAAATGAAATAATATACTGACATACATTGGCTTAGATTATTTCCTATTTTTCCCAAGATTTATTCTGGCCACTGTCTTGAACAACAATTATGAAAATAAAAAGAGTGATCCCTTTTTTAAGAAGTAAATTGTCTAGGCACCTGACTGGTTCAGTCGGTTAAGTGTCTGACTGTTGATCTCAGCCAGGTCTTGATCTCAAGGTCATGAGTTCAAGTCTTGCAATGGGCTCAGCACTAGGTGTGAAGCCTACCTAAAATAAATAAGTACATAATTATAAACTGTCAGTAGCACTGAAAGAGAGATTAATACATAGATGTATAAGGTAATCTGTGAGTCTATGAATTTTTTTAAAAGAAGTCAAATTTAGTTATTTTTTATGTGCATTTATATATTTGTAGTTTAATAAAGCAATCATTTTATAGATATTGATATTTTTAAAATAATTTAATTTTAATTTTGAATGATATACAGGTGGCAGTTATATTTATGTCATAGGATTATGGTTTATATTTATTAAAAAATTAGTGGTTTTACCCATGTTTTTTACTGTTATAAGTGATTATCACTTTTAGTAGTTGTTAAAATAACTGAACTTAGGGGCGCCTGGGTAGCTTAGTCGGTTAAGCGTCCGGCTTTCGCTTAGGTCATGATCTCGCAGTTCATGGGTTCGAGCCCCGCGTCAGGCTCTGTGCTGACTGCCATCTCGGAGCCTGGAGCCTATTTCAGAGTCTGTATCTCCCTCTCTCCCTGACCCTCCCCTGCTCAGGCTCTCTCTCTCTCTCTCTCTCTCTTTCTCTCCCCTAGATATAAAAAATAAAAAAAATATTTAAAAAGTAAATAAATAAAATAAAATAACTGAACTTAAAATAAAGTTGTACTTAACCAAAGTAGTTTGATTTGGGAAGAAAACTGTATTATGGAATGATTAAAATTTTTGATTTAAGAAATAAAAAGGCTGTGAAAATAAAGAGTAATTTCAGTGCTGAAATAGAACTTAATGGTAACTAAATTGTAAATGTTATGCTTTATGATTTGTTATTGCATATTGTGAAACATTCAAAGCCTAAGTTAAAATTTCACTGATCATATTGTCTTATAGGGGTCCAGGTGGTGGTAGACCTTGGCCAAACCCAACAAATGCCAATTCAGTGAGTATATATATATATTTAATTTTCTTTGCACTTTCTAGCATTGAACAACAAAAATCTGTTGCTTTTGAAAGCAACTTTTTAAAAAGTAATCATTCAAAAATATATTTTGCATATATATTTTTAATATGTGTAATTTTTGAAATGATGTAATTTTTTTTACTTCACATTAAAACATGCATTCTATGTGGATAAATAGACTTCCAAAATTAAAATAAAATGTGATTTAGGTATACCACAGTAGCCTATATTTATTATAATATATATTTATCATAAAATGATTTGATCTTCTAAAATAACTATGATAATCACTAAGTGGCCAGATAACCTCAATCTATACCAGAGTTATTATGATTATACGTATTGTACTAGTTGCCCCTAGGTTTGCTCTCTCCCTATTCCAGGAAGCAAGGACATGTTTGCCCTATGCCTGTTGGCTGAATTGGTGTTCCTACACGTCTGTCTGTGTATCTGACATGCTGTGAATTTTCCTTACATGTTTTGTGATAGTTGTTTAACTGCACAAATATTTTTCTCTCTTAATAATATCACATGAATATAGGCACAATATGAAAATTAAGCTTTTACTCTTAAAATTGATATGATTTTAATTTAATGATCCTGGTAATGTTTTCCCTTCTTGACTTTGAACCTTTGAATAACTTCAGTATAGAGAGAGGTCTGCTGTGTACTTTTGTGTAGTGTGGGCACAGTACAAAGGTTCCTGACTCAATCAGTAGGGTACTAAAATACAGCTTGTGCTCCACTTGTAAAGTCTATGAGTATCTGGCCCAGCAGGGATGCCTTTCACTAATATGCACAGAGGTACCCTCATTGACTAGCAATGACCTTACTGCTAAAAAAACATGAAACTGATCCAGTGTTTAAGGTTAATTTAAATTTCAAGAAAATTTGAAGTGATGTATGTGTGGTATAGAAAGAAACATCCTAAATTTATAGCTATTCTAAGGCCGAATCACTTTCTTCTCAATTAAGTAAGCAATTATCGTATTTCTAGAGAAAAAAGTAATTTATATTATCTTCCTGTCTCTTAGTTTCAGTAGCTAATTGAAATACAATTTTGAGTGGAGAGAGTGATGATCTTGATTCCATTTGGGTCTTCACTGTAGTATTTAATCTTAACAAATTTTTCTTTTTGGTAATTAAAAAAATTTAAATATTTATTTTGAGAGAGTGAGTGATAGCAGGGAAGGGGCAGAGAGGGGAGAGAGAAAGAAAGAGAGTGAGACAGAGAGAAGGAGAGAGGGAGAAAGAGAGAATCCCAAGCAGCCTACATGCTAAACACAGAGCCTGGAGCAGGGCTCCATCTCACGACAGTAGTTGACATCATGACCCAAGCCAAAATCAAGAGTCGATCACCCAGCTGACTGAGTCACCCAGGAGCCCCTCAGCAAATCTTTCTAAAGTACTGTTTAGCCAGATTATGTTATAATGTGAATATCTTTCCTCTCCAAAATTCTTTTAGTTTGCTTATATGCTTTGAAGAGTTCACATTCCTTTTGCTTCTTGCTATCTGCCTTTCAAATTCTTTCAAGATTTCACTTTAATAAATGGCATCTGGCTAGTAGCTCAAGATAGAGTTCTTTCAACTCCCTATTAAAATACCCATAAAGGTACAGGAAAAAACATTTTTTTCTGACACTGAAAACTGACAGTCTTCCTTTTGCTAGAATCTGAAAAGACTTTTTATTCAGAATCTGCATGTCTGTCGAAACTGGATTAAAAAGCACAATTAATGGAGTACCTTAACTATGTGAGCCTTCTCACCTAGAAGCAAGAAGACTTCTCTCCTTCCTCACTGTCAGCTCTCTCAGCTGTCCCTCTCCTGCCCATTGCAGGCGGCCAAGTGCAATTCACACCTGCCACTGCCTGCCTCCAGCAGTACCTCCTTTTATACACTCACCTGGAGACTCTGTCCCCCAAAAACTACTTGGGAAGGTGGGCAGTCAGATTTGATATTGAGGATGGTGCATTGTACCAAGCAGGTATATTATCCTAGTAAGAGTATTAGATAGAGGCAGAGATGGGGAGAGAGTTCTGCATTCTGCTGTTAGTTTTGATGCATTCCACCTCTTCATAACTTCATAGAGTGAAGCACTGTGGATAGGAGAAGGTACTATATTGGGTCAGCAGGTCTGCATTACTTTAGATCCTGAGAAACACTAGAGTAGGAGGTATGCATATCAAACTGCCATCCAGTAGTCAGTATGAAATGGGTGTTTGACTAGCATACATACGTGTGAGAAATAGAGTTGAAAATAATCCCTTGTGTTAATATGTATCATTTGTGGATACATCTCCCCTCACTCAAAGAAAGGTGAATAGGGAGGGGCGCTTAGGTGGCTCAGTTGGTTAAGTGTCCAAATTCCGATCAGGTCATGATCTCATGGTTCTTGAGTTTGAGCCCCACATCAGACTCTGTGCTAACAGCTCGTAACCTGAGCCTGCTTCAGATTCTGTGTGTGTCTCTCTCTCTGTGCCTCCCCCACTCATGCTCTGTCTCTGTCTCTCTCTCAAAAGTAAACTAACATTAAAAAAAATTTAAAAATTAAAGGAAATGTGAATAGGGAAAAAAAATAGGAAGGGCCCAAAGCTTTCTCCTCAGAAAGAGAAAGGGGGTCATCATCCTGAGTACAGAGAGACAAAGTATTCCTCTGAGAAATGATTTATTATGAGAGCAAGAAAAAAATCATTAAAAATGATGACTTTCTGACAAAAACATAAGCCTTAAATAAGGCTTATTTAAGCCTTATGTTTAAGAGGGATTTTTTTTCCCCCTAAAGACTATTGGTTATGTTCTAGCAACAACTCACCTATACTGTTTTGATTTCCAAGTTCCTTAGACTTCTTGTCCTCATTTGTAACTACAAACACTTTTTATTTTGTATCAGTATAGTAAGTCTCTGACTCTTCAGGGTCATATGTTAAAGTGGTTGATTATTTTGTTTTTTCCTATTTTCAAGTATGTCTTATATTTGTTTTGTCTTATATACTTTTTTCCTTTTAAATGTTTATATCAAAATAACTTTAGATTTATAGAAAAATTGCAAGAATAGTACAAAGAACTCCCATTCATCCTTAACCCAGATTCCCAAGTTATACAACACTTGCTTTATTATTTCCTTTCTCTGCTTGTACATATTTTTTTTCTGAACCATTTGAGCTGTATTTAAGTTGCTGACATGATGACCCTTTATCCCCAAATACATCCATGTATTTTTACTAAAAACAAATACATTATCTTTCATAACTGCAGTTAAGATCAAAATTAGAAAGTAAACATTAATGTAATGCTGTTCTCTAATCTGCAGACCTCACTCACATTTCACCAGTTGTCCCAATAATCTGCTTCATAACAAAAGAAAATCCTAGTTCATTTGTTACATTTAACTGTCATGACTCTTTGTCTTTAATCTAGGACAGTTTCTCAGCTTACCTTTTTTCTTAACCTTGCAGTTTTGTTTAATGCAAATCAGTTATATTATAGAATATGCCATAATTTTGTTTTATCTGATGTTTCCTCATGATTAGATTCAGGTAACATATTTGGTAGGAATACCACAGAAGGAATGTTGTGATTTTCTCAGTGTATCATTTCAGGAAGGATGTGATGGTGATTTGTCCCATTGCTCGTAGTGTTAACTTTGATCCTTAGTGAAGGGTAGTGCTTGTCAAGTTTCTCTCCTGTAAAATTACTGTTTTTCCTTTTGTAATTATTAATTTGTGGAGACATACCTTGAAACTACAGTAAATATCCTTTTCTTCCTCATACTTTCATCTGCTACTTTTGCCATCCATTGATGATTGATGCTTTTTTGCTATGTTGGTTGCCAAGTGGCTGTTTTCTGTCTTTTCTTCTCCATTTATTAGTTGCCTCTACTACAGAGCTTTTCTTTCTTCATTCATTCATTCATTCATTCATTCATTCATTCATACCAAATGTGCTTGTTGTTGACTCATTTTATTCAGTAGGTTTTTGATGCTAAAGTCACTCCATATTTAGCAGTAGGAACCCCTTCAAGCTGGATCATGTTTCCTTTTGACATGCTTCCATTATTCTTTGAGCATTTTGAAACTCATCTTGTGTTTTCCCAGTGTTGGCCCTGAAACAGCCATTTCTTTAAGGAGCCTTGGTTCCTTTTTAATGGAGAGTGGTAGTTGGAACTCAAGAGAGTGATACAAATTCTAGAAGCTCCCCACAGAAATAACTAAGATACAGATGGATGTTCATACATTCCTATACACACCTCTGTATCTTCCTGCATCTATCTATATGTACTAAAACCATGAGTACACACTATTGCTTCAATTTCAGTCCAACACAACAGGATATATTCTAGATTTTCTGTTTTTTACTTCTTTGAAAGTAAGAAATCTGCCTACCATTATGTACAATATATTTATTTATTTATTTACTTAATCTTTATAAATCCACAGTTTTCTGTTATAAAAGTATTTTAATCAAAAATGGTTTGGTACCCTTTTATATGACAGTAGAAAAAAACATTTTTAAGGAAAAATTAATATTTTTAATTTGGAATAAAAGTATGACTTTCACTTTTAACTTCCTTTGACCTGAGCATTACAATATTAGCCTCAGATTCTTATTTGGAAGTTTATTTACAAATCCACCAGTGAATTTTCCTTTTTATACTTTTCAAAGGAACCACACACCTGAGTTTAGCACATTCTAATCATTAAGTAGCAAGCATTTTTATTGAAAATATCTTAATTATCTTTGGAGACACTTTTAGTTATAAGGTACAGAGAAACAACCAAAGTAGGCTTATATTGAGAGCGTATCACTGGATTATGTATCTAAAAAGTCCAGATATAAATTTGGGGGCACATTTGATTCCAAAGATCCAGATAATGTCATTAGCACCTGGTCTCTATCACTTGCCTTTTTTTCCTTGCCATGACAAGAAGACAGTGTGAAGCTCCAGACTTAGATCCTCAGAACTCTCAGTTAAGTACAA